CATGTACAAAAAGTGGACATTGCAGAAAAAATCTATGAATCAATAGAAAGTGGAACGTGACACTGTCGGGCAACAAGGACAGTTACAAAGTGCTCGTGTTACACGTAACGAATACTTGAAACGTAACGAAAAGAAAAAAAACAAGACTCGTGGTGTAAAGAGAAATGCAAAAAAAATCCGTCACCATTGAAGCGTAGGAGGAATTTAAACGAATCGTAACTTCTCGCCGTGGATTTATTACAAAATCAATGCGAAGTGGCCAGATGTTATCGATACGCCACCATGCGTTACGGTTTTCATTAGCTCTCTCACGGCTAATGATCGTTTAGACAGCGGATTTGAGTCGATAGCTGTACCATTAATTTCTTTGATATCGTGACGTTAATTATCTAATAAAGTACATGTAACTAATCAATATCACCAAAACAAAAACGATAACATATATATCGTTGTCAATGTTACCGTTAACATAAATTTTATTCTTTTTTGAATAACTGCGAATAACATTCATGGTAAACCAGGGCGTACTTACTTACTTTGTCCCACATAAAATGCAAAAATATAATTTGGCATTACAGTAAAACCTCGATATAACGGATTAATACGGGGAAGGCAGTGTCTGAATAACAAATAAAACTAGACTAACACTAACACTAAAGCTAACCCTAGAACTAGAAACATTCCGTTTAGCCGTTCCTCTCTTGAGATGGCTGGTAGGTAGCGCTATTTAGCATAAAATATCGCTATGTTACATATTTTTATGGAACTAAAACTAGAATTAACACTAAACCTAGAACTAGAAATATTCAAATATCGGGTTGTTCTAGTTTTACACTAGCACTATCACTAGAACTAATACAAGACCTAGAACTAGAATCATTCGGGTTTAGCCGTCTTAAGAGACGTGTGGCTAAATCCGAATGTTTCTAGTTCTCGGTCTAGTGTTAGTTCTAGTTTTACACTATCACTAGAACTAACACAAAATCTAGAACTAAAATCATTCGGGTTTAGCCGTTTTGAAAGACATGCTTCTAAATCCGAATGTTTCTAGTTCTAATGTTAGTTCTAGTTTTAATTGTTATTCAGTGTTAGATTGTGGTATATTTTTATTGAACGAAAAGCAAAACTAACACTAGATCTAGAACCAAGTTGCTATAACAAACCTAAACAAAAAAAAAAGATTACTTTTCAGAATTTGTTAAACTTTTAAGAATGAAGAAGGTTATAACACTGTGATTGCGAAGTTTCGTGATTATATTGTAGCATTGTAATCGTTTCCGACAAACGATTATATAAAAACGCACCGAGTCCCTGTTAATTATAAACGACGTAACTGAGAAGGAGATTGGCTCTTTTAGTAGTCGTCGTTGTTGGTTCTGTAGCCTTGGTTGTGCTGACGTTCCTCGTTCGCTCTTCGCTCGTTCTTCGAGATGACGAACGCATTCTCGAAGTCCGAATCACCGCACGCCATTGTGTGTATAAACCGATGGTCTTGGTGCAGTTTGCGATAAAATCGCGCTTTCACTGCTTCTATGGCAAGTGTACCGAGTGTTTTAAATGTTTATTTAAGGAGAAATAAAACGATTTCAGAAAGTCATCGTTAACTAAAATTGGTTTTGATCGTTAATGTATTGAAAAGATGATGTAATTGTTAAAATATTGTTACAAATGGAATTTTTGCTTTCCATTTTTTACGTTGAATTCTGAAAAATTCGTTATCGACGAGTTGTTTAAAAATTCTTTAGATTTGTTGTAAAGAATTTCGAGTGTGTTAAATGTTTTTTTAACACAAAATACACTCATAAACAAAAATGTTGTTATATAGTAAATATTATACCGTACCAGGAAGTATTATAATATTTTATATTATTAGAAATACTTTATTTATAATCATTTTTTGTCCCAATTTCTGAACATCAAACAGTACTTCTTTACAAACAAACTCACTTTTCTTTTCCTCGCTGTTATTTGTTCAGTAACATAGCCAGCCAATAAATCGCGTGGAAATCACAATTGAATCTTACCTTTGATTTTTTTTCTTTCACGTCGAAACGACAAAGCTACAACAAATGGCAAGCAGAATCGAAGGCTGTAAAATTCCTTTTGATCTTTTTAGAAAACAAGCATTGAAAACGATTTGTATTTTGTATTACATTGAAAACAACATTTTTGTATAATATTAATTTCAGTACACCTTATGGTTTTTATGTGATGTGGCAAAATCTTTTAATAGGAGCAATTTGTTAGTATAATATTGTGTAGTTTAGAAATTGTTGAAGATACAGGGTGTTTTAAAAAAAATCGCTGTCTAATGAAATTTATGACTGTTTCTGTTTGACATGAACACAATTCATTAACAAAGCAATGTCATGTTGATATTGCAAGAGATTGTGAATATTTTGAATATGAATTTTTAACTTCACAGTTTATCTATTCATTTCTCTTATTTTAATTATTCTTGGTCATCATCAACAGCTTCTTTTTTGAAAAGATTTGAAAATCTGTTCTACAGATGCTCGTCTTATCTATTTCGATCGGTCCAAAAGTGTCGGGTAGAGGCTTTTTTATACCACGGACTTCACAATTTCTTGTTATTATCTTTGGTTTTGCTCATCTTGAATAGAATAGGGAAGCTTAAATAGCTGTTATAATAAGTTCTTTTCTTTACAAAGTCCTCCATCTCAACTTATTTACGTTACTTTTTCACTCTAGTGGAATTTCGTCCACGTTATCCATATTAATCCCTTTTCTGCACATCCGTATATAGTAAATTGGTTGCCTTAAATACGGTGGGATCAGAAATATCAATTTGATCACAGAATCAGCATTTATCGTCTTGGGTTTTCCTTATACATATGTCATTTTCTCCTTATGACCTGTTATCAAATAGATGATCGACCTTTCCCCATTTTCTTGTTGTCCAATTTTGCACGTTAAGTATAAAAAGACTGCTAAGAGTTTGGCAAACTTCAACTATAGAACCTTTCTCGTAATTGTAAATGGACTACTTTTTCTATTGATGAATCGGCAACTAGCTCTTTACACTAACGGCACTATCTGACGTGTTGATGTCACTCCTTTGGTCAACTTACTGTTTAAACAACTAGCAGCAGCTACGTATAGTGCTAATATCTTAATCACATAGCTCCAGGCCGACACTGCCACATTTGCTACATTTCGACTCCCTGATATAGGTCGTAACACATATTAACGTGTTGATCATTTTATATGCTTTTCTTACTCCCTTGTAATGGTAGTGGGATCTTGACATGGTTGTTCATCTCCTTATCTATAAAAATTCCTGAATACCTGACCATTAACTCATAATTGACCGTTTGGCCGAGCTCTTAAAGTTTCCCCTCAGTTTTTGCCCTGCTTGATTTCAGCAAATTCTTTGAGATGACCATTCTTGTCTGGAACCTTTTCCTTGATTTTAGTTTTTATCTTAAATGTTTCCGCCATAGTCAGATCATCTGCATAGGTTACCAAATCAATATCCCATTCCATGTCTAGCTTCAGAATAATATCTTAAAATATATTCCATAGTGTTGCATTCAATGCTGATTCTTGGAAATCTGCGGACGCAATGATTTTCTTAGGTAATAGACACTCCTCTACCATTTTCACCAGTTATTCCTTGGTGACTATCCTCAGTGCATTTATGGTCTTATCCCAAAAAGTTCTTTATGGGTGTAACTCTTTGCATATATACTTTTTACTATTTTATCTATTCTGGAACCGTACTTTATACCAAAGATCTTTTTTAGCCATCTTATAAGTGTGCTCTAACTCTTGTTTAGCTTTTCGCCAACATTTCTATTTTATGATGTGCTCATTTCTGCCTTCTAATTTTCTTGTTCCACCAGTATGCTCAGTATTTTCTGCAATCAACCTTTCTTGACCTCTTGCTGTTATGGACTAGCCGTACTGCCATTTATACATTTTGATAAAACCTTTATCTTGTTTTGCGATACTGCATCTCATAAAACTTATCTTTATCGTACTTACTTTTATCAGTTGCAATGCATCCGTCATTGTCTGCATGATAAAAGTGTAATGTCGTTTCTCTGTTATCACTGCAACATATCCTTATTTTTATAAAAATGTTGATAAAGGTTAGGCACAAACAGCTTCATTCTCTATAATTTGTATACAACGTCAGTTAATTGAGCTTCTAAAACAACATAAACTTGAAAAAATAGTTGAGATAATGTATATTTGACCAAAATTTAATAATTTTCATGGTTTGCTGTATTGAATGGATGGACATTTATAATTTCGAACATTCCGGCTGCAATGCTATCAAGTTGAGATTGATGCATCGTTGTAGATCATATCTCATTACGTAAAAATTGAATAGAGTTTGTAGTGGTAATAGATTACAATAGATGTCGCTTTTCTATGTGTGCAGAAAAGTTAGACACGTTTTTCTATTATTAATTTATATATAATTGTAAGTTCCAGTCCTTTATGTGTATACCATAATAAATAATTCTAGCTCATTTGATGTGGTTTTTAAATATGAGTAATAATAGATTTCACCATGTGGCGCTTAAATTGATCTCGATATTTCTTGGACTTGGCCTTCTATATATCTAGTTCATTTTAGTGTTATGTGCAATATGTTGTAGTGCTGACTAATATTTTTATCAAATGAAAATGCAATTCATAATATCATATCACAAGAATTTTCTTTCATTCACGAAATGAACTTTTCCCACCACGACCACACGCAACGAAAGCTTACGTATCCTCTTCCTCGCTGGATATAAAATCAATAACACCGCAAATTTCATCGTCCTGAAAACGAAAAGCGACTACGTATACCAATATAATAAAATAAAAAAAAAAAACTATATAGAGTCCCACCCGGTCGCTGCCGGTTGCAACCTTGCGTCCGACCGCGAATCGGCAACGTTCGCAACGTTGCCGTCTACGTCACGGCGCGACCCACTAACCTCATTCGCCGTTGAGGCTGCTTTACGTCGAGCGCCAAGCTCTGCCATTGAGGTTGAGACCGCGAACGAGGAACAACGTCTATCGCGACTACATTTCCACACATTGTATACGTTCCTCTCCCAGTTACACACTTCGAAGTGTGCCCAGTTTTCCTCATTTTTGCCACGCCAAAGTACACATAAATAAAAACTTTAAGTAAAACTTTTTTAAACTTTAAAACGTTTGTGCTATCAATACTTAACAGATTTTTTTTAGTGTTTTTTTTTAAATTTACAAGTGTTTATTATTTTTAGTGATGATAAAAATGATAATAAAGTGATTTTGTGTAAAGTTGTCGGATTATATTGAATTATTTTTTGAAGTGTTGCCATGAAATTTTTTTGGATAATAATTACAGTGGATTTTTTATCAAGAAATCTTGTTGACCGAACTTCTGTGAAGGATTTGTTTTAAAAGATCATGCTGGAGCACACCGCTATGTATTTTACCCCGATCTGCGAGGAGGACACTTCCTCCTTTCCAGATTTCTACACTCGGTACGTTTTGTTTCGTTCCTCGTTAATGTTTGTTTCTCAAATCTCATCCCGGTTTAAAGTTTGTTGATCCTTTACGATTGATAAACACTTCAACATAGATAGATAGATGTTTTGTTTCGGAGTTTTTGGCCGCCTTCCAACCGCATGACTTGCCGCAAAACTTATCTAGAAAAGTAATGACTACTTTTTTTAGTAATAATTTTTTAACTTTTCATTTCCTTATCAAGACAACGATTTTTATGGAAAAATAAGCGAGAGTTAATCATAATATGAGCAATAATTTTAAAAGTGAAAACCTCTTAATTCTTTTACACTCTCCTCCTCCTCCACACTACATTTGCGTTCACGACAACGTAAATAATCGCATTTCGTCGGACTTGGACCTGGTGCAGCTGATAATCTTGTCGTCGTTCAACGTTGCGACACGACTCGCTGTTAGGTAACGGTCAAGTTGAGGCGAAATTGAAAGAGCAATTTATATGGTAGTGGAATGGCTACGTCAGGAAGGGAGATTGAAACATAAACATGCTTATTAGTGTTAACAAGAACGTTAGTTTAGAGAGTATTAGAATAGACACAGCGTTTCAAATTATTTCGAATATAAATTAATTTTGTATATTATTTTATTTACTTACTTTGCGTGATCCAGAAATGAATTATATATTTATGCCACATTAATTGATGACTTATTAATAAAGCACTTTGTAAACTATGTAAATGAAGATTCTTAGGTGAACTCTTGGGTTGCTCACAAATGTGTTTTATCGATTTCAAAGCATTTTGGTGCAATGTGATTTTGTTACAAGTTAGAACAGAAAGTAAGTTTTTGCTTAATTCTCTCTCATTCTCACTCTGCCCAATTAAACAAGTATAAATAGATCAACAAGTTATTTGGCTTCATCGAAAATCGTGAATCATCAATTAGTATCGGGTGTTGATTAGTTGGCTGGATCTTAGGTTAACCCAAAAAAGATAACTACTTATTATTATACCTAATGATGTCCAGTGTTAGGAATTTGCGTAAAATCATTAAAATGAGTCATGTTGATAGGATCATATTTCTTAACACATCATATTCAATTCGAAACTACTAGTTTATTTCTTGAATATAAAAATTTGTTTCCTAATTTAGACAAATAAAAAAAAACCTGAAACCTTGAATGGTGAAATATTTTATTCGTAAGCTCCTCGTCATTACAATGACGTATTTGTGATCAGACTCACAATCAGTGATATTTTTCTATTTTCGGCTCATTGTTAAAAAAATTCCTTTTATAGATCGCATTAGAAATGGTAATTCAAAAGGCATATCGCTTACCTAAAATTACGGTTATTATTATTGCTATTGAAGTATTGTGTTTCAAACGTCATGATTGGAAAATTACAATTGTGTTAACTAAAACGTCTAAAAGTAAATGTTACCTAGAATTACGCTGTTAACAAACTGTTAAATTATAAGTTACACTTATTTGTTTCATATCTTGCTCAATAAGCTACATTGCGTAGTAAAATGTATTTTTTATTAGACTTAGTTCTCGACGTAAAGTGATTAGATAACACCAGATTTATTAATGAAGAAGTTACTCAAAAGAAATTCTTTTGCTTTAAATTCTTATCCATCTTTATGGCCAAAGTTACTAAAATTCTTGCATTTCAGACACTAATTGACATTAATGACAACGTTAATGTTTTGATTTTATGTCCGATTTTGACTTACCTAAAAAAAAAGAAAAGCGAAAAAGTGATTAACATTAACGCAAATTTAAACAAAGGAAAAATACATCATTATTAATAGTCATGAAAGAAAATCATGATAAATTAGTGTACGATGAACATAAAAATAGGAGAAAAATCAGACCTTGAATAAGGCTGAATGAAACCATACTCAGATAAAGTACTATCGAGGATGCTAACAAGAAAAGATACCCAATGAGTTCGGAATGTTGACTATGCGTAATTATTTAAGGAACCTAAGTTGCGTTTAGCACACAGTCTAAAATTAACAGTACGAGGTGTATATATTAAGTAATGAGTTGGCAACGTTGCGTCCGATCTAATAACACTTAAGACACAGAATCTATGTTGGATCGTTTGGTTAATCCTAGCGATTTTATCCACGAGACAGCTTGTTCTGGTGTAATCTAAAAATCAATTTCTAGAAAGCATATACTATTAGGTATTGGCTCAATACATCAAAACTGTTGTAAAAGTTTGGTAAGCCTATAAAGAATGTTTTGCGAATGGTTTTTTTGAGATTAAATCATTTTGAGAAAGCAAATCTTCAAGAACTGGTAGAAATGTGAACAGAATTCGTATTCTTGTGGGTGTAGGTTTTAGGGTGCCAGTCAAAATGATTGTTGAATAAATTAGACCGTTTTAACCAATATTCAGCACAAAATGGCTCCTCCGAAAGTATCAAAAGGAATACCAAAAGCAAGTATCAGATCAGAAGAGTTTTTATTTTCAAGTTTTACATATTTAGGGTTCATATACTGCTATTATATGTTAAAAATAAATGAAATTTTAAAATAATCTTTGTAAAACAAAAAGAATGTTCACAAATCGCTTTCAAATTCTTTTTACAACTTTTATAGCTTTTCCCTGTCAGTGAAATTTACTTTTTTACGTCTTTCTTTCTAAGAATTCCTTTCCGTTGTGTGCAAAATCAATCAAACCTTTAATTATCATCATGTTTAGACACTTTGAAACATTCTTCATTGCGTTTAGACATTGTTGAAATAATGTTCGTTTTTAGGTTCTGTATAAAATTTTATAGAGATTTAGCAGTAATTGAGATAATGCGTAGTGCTTCACGAATGGAAAAGTATGTGTTGTTATGCTCAATTCGAGATTTCATCCGTTCTTCCTGTTGGTTCCCTATGGACAGGGACAAACGTTTCGCCAGGATCTCACCTGGCATTTTTTTATCTTCAGCACTAATTGTATCGACAATGTTGGACCATTTGAAACAATTTGGCTGAGATTTAGACAAGTAGACAAGTTATACGTATTTCTAGGTAGTTATAAAGATTTCAGGCAAGTTTTGGACAACTTGTAACAATTGCAGACCATTTTGGAAGTTTTGCTTGAATATTTTCTATTAAACTGAAGTCGCTTTCAAATTCCTTTTAGATCTTTTATGGCTTTTCCCTTCAAGTGAAATTTACCTCTTTCTTTTTGACAAAATCCTTTCCGTTGTGTGCAAAATCAATCAAATCATTAATTGTCATCGTATCGACGTCACCAATATAATTTACGCCATCAACTTGCATCTTTTCAGCACAATAGTCGTATTAGCTTCGCAATTATTTTTGTGACCTTCATGCCATGACTTCAACTCAACACTATCAAGTTTCGTTCGTCAAACATGATACATATTACGCTACTTGTGTTGCTATAACTACTCACATAGGAAACACAAAGAAGTTGTTCTCAACAAAATATCTTATTTTGAAAGAATTTTGACAGACTGTTTCAGAATGTTGCAATATTTAATTAAGGTAGAAAATGTTTACAGAAAGATCTATCTGCTATAAAAGCGCACATAGATACAACGCGTAACAAATTCCATTGATTTTGTAACCTGATAATTATCAATCTCGGAAGCTTTCGATAAAACAGAAACATTGTTTATATTACAATTTTCATTGTGGTACAAGTTTTAAATAAGTTAGGAATACGATGCCGATTTCGACGTGTTATTCCATCCTCAGGAACATGTTGGAAAATTGAACATAACATATTACTGATATTTTCTTCTTTTTATAAGATTCAATGTCAAATGAAATGATTTTCTATCCTAGGGCGACTAGATTTAGACCTGATCTTGTCCCTTTCCTACCTGAACCGACCAATTTAAATATTTTTTCAGGACAATCTGCGGCCCGATCGCCAACAGGCGAGTAGAAGTCCGCACTGGAATAATAATTCCACCAGACGTAATTTATAGGGGGAGCTTTTTGTGGTTGTGGCCCGGCGGACTTTCTTGCTTGGTGTAAACTCGACGCGACGGGAACAAGATACCGATCTGGGCGGGTTTTACTTTCCCCTTTTTCCCCGGACAATGTAAACCAGGAGAGTTATTGGGACAAGATAAAGCGTTTTGTACCCGCCTTGATATTTATCAGATTTCCGGGTTCCTTCATAAAAAAGAGTCTTGACGAGAATAAAAAGTGTATTACGAAATGTAATTTTCTTTGGAAATTTCGTTCATCATCAATTAAAACAACTAGGAAGTCAAACCGTTTTTAGTGTCATTATCTAAACTCGTACGTGCTGTAAATATTTGTTTATTAAATATTAAAACGTTGTGAAATTGTAAAGATATTTGTAATTAGAAAAAAGTTGTTTTTAACTGCACGTGGATAATTTTCAATTTTCATTCGAAAGTAATAAATTTTCACACCCATGGTTTGACTCTCTCTCTCCCCGCGTTTTAATAACTTATGCAGACGTTGTATCCCGGGCTTGTCATATCCAATAAATTATACGACGACGAAACGGCGTTGAAAATTTATTATTTTAACGTACAGTGCACGCACGGATAGCCGTTAGCCAATGGAAAACGTTCTTTTTCTAGGACGCGGTACTGTTGCTTCTTCGGCTCGCCCAACATTGTCAAAGAAGAGTGTTGAGGAGGGCCCCACGGTAAAAAGAAAAGAGGCAAATTGCACGTGTTCACGGTCGGTTTTCGTACAATAATTTTGTCGTCGTCGTCGGCGCCATTATAAATAATTATTATAAAACCGAGGCGAAATATAAAAAGCGGACGTGAAACTACAAAAGAACTTTGTACAAAAGAAGTAGGTGTAATAGTTTTGTGTGACCGTCATCTCACTTCCTGTACGTGATTTCTTAATAATAATGAAACAAAAAAAATATTTGATGAATTGATTTATTTATTAATCTCTTAATCAAATACATAAAATAAGGGAGCTTAAATAAATAGACGCAGCTTCTATTTATTATTTATTGATAATCGCCGTTTGCTATAATAATTG